CTCTTTCTTTCAGGTTATACTCCTCAGGTGGCCAAAACTGACTGGGTGGTTAAACTCATTGGTTTAACACTAATAGTTCAAACACAGATACTGCTTCTATTATCACAGTGAAATTAGATTATACCTACCAACACCCATTCACACGCCAACAAACACACATATCACCCCTTTTACATAGAGAAAATTTGAAAACAACCTAAGAGGCATAATCTAGGAATAATGTGGGTTTAAGCATAATTATTTTTTTCTTTTGTTTAGACTTGTTATCCTCATTCTTTAATCATTAACTTTGGATTTTACAGGGAACAGTTGTGACATGACCCAAGTGATGGCATTTATCCCAAAGAGACCAGTGAAATGTCTGGATTTTATGTGTTTTTTTGGCCTGTCTTAAATAACTGGTAATTTATGTCAGGTCTAAAAGCACATAAAATTTAGACATTTAATGGAGAAAGAACAAATAGATTTCTAGGAAAAGCACTGTCTTGTAATAAATGTAAGATTTATTTATCATCACATTTTTACTCTGCTCAGGGTGGCATGTTCTTCTTCTCCTTTACCTTCACCAATAACTCTGTAAGATGAGCTCAGCTGCAACATCTAATAATGCTCATGGCCTAAGTGGAGTTTGAAATTTCAAACTGGATTTCTCTAGTCCCAGGCCAGCCATCATGCTACTATATAGCACTTAATGTTAGCAAACAGTGATTGCAGATCCATTTTCTAAACAGGCTCAGTTGCAAGTACAATTCTATGTATGTCTAGTTGTCTGCCCATTATACTAGTTCCTCTTGATTTCAGGTGCTTACTTCCAGGTAAGTGTGTATAAAAGTATGGCCTCAGTAACTTAGTAGTATCGGCTCCCATCAACACTCAGGCACATTATGTGAATCTCAAGCAATATATTCACAACCTTGCAATTGGAAATTGTCTTCTATGCAAAGTTTGTACAGCTTTGGCCCATCCTAGCACATTTCCCATGGGGATCATTTGGAAATCAATTAAATAAACATTCATTTCAGAAAACAATATGTGCAGACCAGAGCTTGCTCATTGGAGCTTGCTCTTTGATAAGGTCTGCCAGACCAGAAACCTATTAAACACATATTTTATTAGCTTTAATGCTCCTTAGATGCCTATTACAGAGGTGTATGCTGCAGGATGATTCTGGGGGAGAAGTTCTACAGGGAATGTTAACTGAACCTGAATTCATATTCATTGAGTTGGAAGTGGTTATTGAGACCACTGAGTCTAACCCTCTGTTCAGTGCAGAGGTTTCCACTGACCCTACCCAGTGTTTAGTAAATGCCATAGCTGCAGTTGAGTTGTTTGCAGTTTGGTTTACAAACAATTCAATCTCAATCTTCAATACAGCATTTCTTAAAACTGTGACACATTTGTTTCCCTCAATCTCCCCATGGTGATGAAAGTCTGAAGAGCAGTTATAACCAAGATTGTCTGAATGTAGATATTGTAGTCCAAGAGACTGGAACCCTTGCAAAATCGGGGTTCCTGATAATATAAATGACTGTAACACGTTCAGTTCTTTAGATCTTCCTTATTAGCATAAGAAGAATGAGGTGGAGAGAATATAGGCAGAGATTAACTGGCATGTTAGTTATTGAATGTCTGAAGAACATCCTAGCTGAGATCAGGTTAACTGGGAATTAACTAGAATTCTTCAGGGAAACAGTTCATGAGACATTTGAATGCATGTCCCTACTCCAAGATTGCAATAATGAAAGATGTATAGATTGTTTAATAGCCCACACTCACATCCCCTGCATTCAGTGAAGGAACCAATGTGCAAGATCTAATATGGGTGCAAATGTCAATTGAACCCTCTAACAAAAGGATTGCTGGAGAGAAGCAGTATGATTCCAGTGTTTGGTGCCCCTCTCTTACAGGCTCCTTAAATCTTCTGGTTCATGTGAAGAATAAGCAACCCACTCAAGCCTTGTCACTCAAAGGGGACAAAGGAAATATGTGGCAACAAGTACATGTACCCATCAACCCTGCAGGACCTTTCCAGGTAAGCAGATTCTTGGGGACCTAAAAGGCCCACCTCCTATTATGTCTTTGATTTAAATTAGCAAACCTTAAGGCAAAGATGCTGAATGGTGAAATATCAATGAGCAACAACACAAATTCAAGAGAAACAGAATGCCTCTTTCTGGCCTTCTATTATAAGGTAGCTTGTGAGACATGCCTTTTCCCCCCAGATTTGTTACTTCATAATAGGACTTAATGCGTGAGCACTAATATATGGCTTGAACGGTTGTTTCGGCTTTGTCATTGTTGAATGGGTTCTTATGTGGGAGACTGGATGTAGCTGCTGTCAAAAACATCAGCCCTTCATTGTGGTGGTGTGGGCTATGTAGTTCCTGGTTCAAATTATGACCCAGTCAGGAAGCTCACATTATAATCTCCCACCTCCTCAATAGGAGAGTATATTTCTGCTTTCATGTGAGAAAAAGACCTGGGAAAGGCTGTATCTAAGTGGTACAGTACCTGCTCTGCATGCAGAAGTCCCAAGTGCAATCCTTAACCAGACAGAGCTGGGAAAGATCCATATCTGGAGCTCTAGTGAGCCATTGCCTGTGCTAGATTTCATTAAGGATAAGGCAGCTTCCTGTCTCCACCACTTACAGTTATGAAAAGCATACAAGTGATTCCAGTAACAAAGTATTTCTATATAGAAAGCTCCTGATTTGAGTCTCTCCTGGTGGGGATGCCATGGCAAGACGATGCCATGCTTACTGTTAAGGAGATGTCAATCAGCTGCAAGTATCTCGGCTGCAATAAAGAGCAACTAGTTAGATGAGGAAACTTGCAGCCCAGTAATACCATGTTATATAGCCATATTACTAGACATTATCAGAAATGAGAAATGTGGAGGAAACTCAAGATTGTTACTTCTGATGGCAACCAGACATCCATTGGAATGTCACATGTCAGCTCTGGAACCATCCATGATAGCAGGTCTGTTCCAATGTATGCAGTGTTATCTGTTGCACAGAACTGTTCATATCCATACTGTGTGTGCAGGTTTTCCATAAACACTATAAACAATCTTGGAAAATGTGGTGTCCTATGTGCCTTTTATTTGTCTGGGTGCCATCCTTGCTTCTGCATGTTCAACAGCATCTTGACCCATAACTACTTTGGAGGCAAAGCTGAGTAGATAGATAAATTTTACCTTCTACAGGTATGTATGTGCTAAAGGTCATGGTGACCACCTTGTATAGTTTCATGAAAGATTCTGAGATGGTGTGCTGAGTCTGTGGAGAATTTAACCACTATGCATTAATTTTCCTTGCTGTTTGTGAGCAGTGAGACAGTTGCCCACTGTGATTGTAAGAGAGTAATTTGTGAGTGCTATTTCCTATCTAGGTAGAATTTCAAATGTGTATTTTATTTGGAAGCATATGAAGAATGTGTAAATTGCACAAAAGTTTATGTTTAATATCAAGAACTGGATACGTTTATGATTGTTCTTTCATTATTTAGATGAAACCTCAGCCATAGTCTTTTAAAAACAGAGTTATGGTTACAAATTGGCTTAAGGATAAAAGTTGCACAAAAACATATTTACTTAGCACTATTGGATAAATGAACTTTATGTTCAGATTTTGTGTGAACTGTTTTGATTTAATACTGGTACCCTGAAATCCAGATTCTGAACTCCCCCAGTATAGAGAAAAGCAGAAATTCTGCCATCTTTCACAATATCAACAGTGCTGCCTTTCAACAACAGAAAAAAACCCTTAGCAAACTACAGTTCCCAGGGATCTTTTTGAGAATCCATAAATATTGGACAAGTATAAAACTGATATACATTTGCAATATAAATAGAACTATGTTGGAAAATGAACAGGACCATACATATCCATTTATTATTCTGAGCTTCTTTTTGTGTGCTAAAATCCATAGGTGTTCATTCCCGGAGAGGTTTATTGTTAATTTTATGCCTGGCATCTTATTTTCTTTGGTGAATGATTCTTTACACTGCTTGTACCAGGCGAGGCTGTGAGCATTTTCTTTTTTTACTTAGCATTAAAGTGTACAGTATACTTTGGGGTGCCATAAAACAATGATCTAGTTACTTGTAAGTCTGCTGCTTATTGCTTGTAGCTCAACTGTTGCTGTGTGCTTAATGACAACCGGGATGGGCAACTAATTTGTTACCATTCAGTTGGTATGAGCTTGTTCCAGCTTGTTGACTCACAGCCTAGGGATGGTCTTCCTTTTGCAGAAGTGTCTCTAAATTCTGGATCATTTAGGTTGGACCACAAAGGGACATAAAAGGCAATACTGCAGTGTTTACAATACTGCCAGAGAGAGAGAGAGAGAGAGAGAGAGAGAGAGAGAGAGAGATTCATTTCCCATTAGAGGGTGTGTCATGAGGCTTATACAAGACAACATTTTCCTCCCTTCTATCTAGTTCATTTCTTCTTCATCAGGCCACAAGAAGTGAAGA